CACTGAAGCAACGAGAACATTCAACAACGAGATTCTCGGAAGGTTTATGTGTGACTCACAGTGGTTGGATGGTGGTTGTGTGGTATTCTGGAATGTTAGTCAGACTCTCACTCCATACAGTTCAAGCAACTAAAATAAATAGCTGTCTTCTCTTTGATTCACACTTCCTTTAGCTCTGAAATGTAACAGCAGCTTCATTCTAAATCTGCATCTTAAACTTTCATACCATTTCAATGATCTCTCTTCAAGTCATTAATTTTATGACAGTCCAAGCTTCTCAGGTCTAGACAACCTATGATCTGGTGTTAGAACTAAAGAAAGCATTCACCTCACCCCTGGAAAATATTTTAGAGAGAAACTAAGGCTCTTCAACTCATTCTAAAATCTCCATGAGCTGTTAGCCACACAAGGATTTTCCTGCCCACCACACCTAAGTGCAGAAACCATAATACACACATCTTATATTTAGATAATTTTTCAAATCATAACATTTACATATTATCTATAAAAGTACAAAGTGTTTTCTATTCAAATTGGGTTAAAATTAATAGAGTTTTCCTTAAGATGATTACTTCTTGATTTTTGTCTTTATAATATGCCTTTCAAATGTACACATAGAGGAACTTCCACTTTTGGCCAGATTGGAGTAACTCATGCCAGAATTACCTCTCTACCAGAAACAATTACAAAGCCAGACAAATAGATGGGGACATTGTTTTCAGGCATTGACACCTAGGCACTGAAGAACTGTGGTCACTGAGAGAAGGGAAATAAATGAGGTGAGCCCCACATTCACCCTGGCTCTCTGCTTGGGGACAGTTTTTTAACTTCAACATCAGGAGGTAGGACTAACAAAAGAGTAAGGTGGTCCTGGTGAGCTGAGAGTGCACATTCCAGTGTTCATGGCTCAGGATATCAGAGTGTTTCACTGTGAGGAGAGGCAGAAAGGGAGATAGGAGCAGGGAGGGGTAGAAATCTATATGATGCTTCTCTGGGGGTCCTTGGCCAAGGGCTGACTGCACATTGCTCCAAGAGCCCTAGCAGAGAGGGCTGCTACAGGGTTGAGAGAGGGACAGAGATACTAGAGATGCACAGTTCTAGAAGACAGTGGCATTCCAGCCCTGCCAGAGTAGAGAGACTTCATTAACATCCCAGGTATTCAGCTGGGCCACCAAAATGGCAACTCCTTACGGAGTAAGAACAACTCTAAAAATTAAGGACTTTTTAATGCAGTATCATCCACAATGCCCAGCATATTAATAAATATTTTAGACATATGAAGCAGGAAATTTTGACCCATGATCAAGGAAAAAATGGTAAATAGAAACAGAGGGTGAAATGAGCCAGTTCTTATAATTAACATAAAAGGACTTTAAAACAGCTATTATTAATATGCTCAAAGACTTAAAAGAGAATATGGTCTTAATGATCAAGCAGATAGGAAATCTCAGCAGAGAAATTAAAGCTATTTAAAAAAAAACAGAAATTTGAGAAGTGAGAAATACAAAATCTACCATGGAAAAATTAATTGAATGATCAGATTACAGATAGAAGAAAAAAAATGGCCAGTGAACTCAATGATAGATTCATAGAGAGCATCTAATCTGAATAATAGGGGAAAAAAAAAGATCAAAGCAAAACAAATAGGACCTCAGTGAACTATGGAACATTGTATGTAATTGTGTCCCAGAAAAAGAAGAGAGTAAGAATGGGAGGAGAAAGAAAAAAAAAATCTAAAGAAAGAATGGTCAAATTCTTTCCAAATTTGGATGAAAAACATAACCTACAGAGCCAGGAAGTTTAGCAAGTAATATAAGGAAAAGAAAACCATGCCAAGAAAAATCCTAGTCAAAGTTTAGAAAAGACAATGAAAAAATCTTAAAAGCGGAGGAGGAAAGTGACCCATCACATTCAGAGAAGCAACAATTCTACTGATGACTGACTTCTCCTCAGAAACAGTTGAGGCCAGAAGACCTCAGTAAGATCTTTAGAGCTCTGAGATGAGAGCCAGAGATAGAGAAAGAGAGAGGGGGGATGTTAGACATTTTTGGATAAATAAAACCTTAGAGAATTCATCACCAGCAGATCTTCATTACAAGACACAATAAATGAAGTTATTTAGTATGAAGGGAAACTATACCAGAAGGACACTCAGATCTGTAAGGATGATTGAGAGCATAAGCATACATGGGTAGACATTTGAACAAACAACTTAAGGATTTTCCCTTTCATTTTCATAACAGGCAAATAACTGTTAAAGCAAAAATAATAGCATTGCAAGATGGGGCTTATAACATATGTAAAATAAATGACTGACAGTTGAAGAGGAAAAGATGGAGAGCTGTAAGATTCTGGTATTTGTGAAGTGTGAAATATGAAGCATAAAGTGGCACAAAATTAGTAGACTGTTGTAAGTTAAGGATTCATCTTATAATTACTAGAGCAATTATTAAAAATAATTAAAAGATAGCTAAAAAGCTGATAAAACAAAATACTGAAACATATATATATTTTTTGAGAGGGGGTCTTGTTTTTCGCCTAGGTTGGAGTTCATTGGTGTCCTCATAGCTTACAGCAACCTCAAACTCCTGGGCTCGAGTGATCCTCCTGTCTCAGCCTCCCAGGTAGCTGTGACTACAGGCGAGTGCCACCATGCCTGGCTAATTTTTCTATTTTTTGTAGAGACAGGATCTTGCTCTTATTCAAGCTGGTCTCAAACTCGTGACCTCAAGCAATCCTCCCGTCTCAGCCTCCCAAAGTGCTAGGATAAAAGTGAGAGCCACCATGCCTAAAACATATTAACACAAAAGAAGGCAGCAAAAAAGGACCAAAGTAACAGAAAACAGGGCACATAATAACAAATAGTAGCAACATGGTAGATTTAAATGCAACCATATCACTAATTATATTAAATGCAAAAGGATTAAGCCATTCCAATTAAATGGTAGAGATTGTTGCATCAGGACTCAGCAAAAAAAAAAAAAATAGAGAAAGGCAGAGATTGTCAGGCTAGATTATAAAGCAAAATCCCTGTAACATGCTGAAATAAAAATAAATAAATAAAGCAAAATCCAACTATCTGCTGTATGTACGAGACACATTTTAAATAGAAAGGTGCAAATAGATTGAAAGAAAAGGGCTAGAAAGATAGACCAAGCAAATGGCAAACACGTAAAAATGGATGTGTCTGTATTAATGTGAGACAAACTAGACTTTAAAATATGGAATATTACCAAGGAGGGACATTTCATAAAAATAAAAGGGTACAGTCAAAAGGAAGATGTGCAAAACATACATAGGCTATTTGTATGTATCCATGTGTTTTTGCTCTTAACTCTCAATTCGTTATTCCACTCTGCTTCAAGCACTTTCCTGTGCTCCAGGGTTGGTGAACTACAGTCCACATTTCTCAGACTCCCTTGTGTCTGGGGTCCCCTGTGTGGCCTAGGATTAGAAAAACCAGATGTACATCTGCTGTTATTGCTGGTAAGTACAGTTGAAGATGTGCCTAAGTTTTCTACATCAGTGTTTGTAGAAGTCTCAGGGTCTAGTCATTTGTCTTGGGCGTCAATTGACCATGAGCAGGGAATACCTCCTGCTAGCACAGATCGCGGGCCGGTACTGGAGCCAGCAGACACGTCAGACTTTGTTTGCTGTGGCCGCCTCCGCCTCGCCCCTCCATCCTGCTCTGTGTGATGCTTTATGGCGTAGGGAGTGGTTCTGGAGCCAGCGGCGTCCTCATCACTGAAGAGTCAGACGCTCCGTTGGTGGCCCGGTTCTGCAACGTGCCTTTGCAGCACGGTTCTGGAAACTCAATGGGGTCTCTTTCTTCAGCACTTCTAAAGATTCCATAAGCCAATTAATGACCTGTAATAAGTTCTTTCCTGTGTAAACTAGCTGGAGAGGGTTTATTCCCAGAGAAACAATCTTAGACATAAATACAATCCTCTAGCCGTGGATATCCGATTTCGGTACTCAGTTGACTATCATCTGCTGTGGTTAGGATGTGCCTGGTTACCATCCCACTTTCTTTTTAAAGTGAATTTCTGTTGTCCTTTAAGACCTGGCTCTCTCTTCTGTGATTGCTTCCCTCTTTTTCGGGGCTGCTTATAACCCCTCATTGTATTTCCACCACATTCTGTCTGTACCTGTTTTAGTGGATTTTACATTGTATCATATTATGTATTATTTATAGTGTGTTGTGCTATTCTTTCCTGTCTTTTTCCTCCACAAGCCTGGAAAATTCTTGAGATGAAAGAATATTACATTCATACCTGTACCTCTGTACCTAACAGAGGATGTGATACGCTACACATATGCAAAATATGTTCATCATAAATGGATGAATGTGTAAGTTCATATGCCTTTTTTTAGACACAGGCATATTTTTCTATATTCTCCAATCCTCTCAAATTAGATAATAATAAATTTATTTTATTTTTATTTCTATCTTACTGAATAATATGGGGAGAAGATTATTGATAAAGAAGTAGAAAATATGACCCTTATACTTAGCTCACCATAACCTTTACAACTACATACACTAAACACACTGAGCATTCACTCTGAGCCAGACATTAGGCTGGGGACCCTACATGACATCATTGCATGTGATCCCATTGCACACCTACAGGGCACCTCTCTTTATAATTAAGAGAACCGAGGTTCAGAGAAGTGAAATACCTGTCCACAGTCACATAGCTAGTAAGTGACTATGGCAGGCAATCAGGGCTGAGGGGACAACCATGCTTCTCTCCATTTATAGTAACAGCAAGGCCAGGGCCGCGTGACTGTTCATGGTCAATGGACCGGGTGTAGGGGTGACGGGCGTCACCTCCGGTGCAGGCAGTGAGAAGCTAGTGCGCTCCTCCCTTTCCTCCTTCCCCTGCTCCAGGGAACCACGTATTCCAGAGAGTTTCCCAGCCTGTGTCACATGAGTGAGGGATAAACCTTAATCCTGTCAGTCCACCACAGCGTCACCACAGCATGCCCTGTCTTACCCTGATAAACGCGGTGACTGGGCTGACCTTCCAACCCAGGTCTGGTTAACTCCGAAGGCTGGCTCCGAACCACCGTCGCCACTCACAGCTCTCCTGGAAAGACAAGACAGACGTACAGCGTGAACGAGCGAGTGACAATACGATAGACACACAGCCACAAGAGACTGGCTAACAATACAGGAAAACAGCCATGAGACATCACATAGCAACGCAAGACAGGGAGTTGGGGCCCACGTGAGTGGTGCCGACAGAGGCCGTAGAAATACGCACCAGCTCTCACCGCGGGTGGGGACAGCGAGGAGGAGCACAGCCAGGGTTGAGACTGTGGCCACGCATACCGGGCAGAGAGGACAGAAGCCAGAGCTCTGTGGCTCTGACGGGACCTGCCCTTGCTCTCCCGTCGACAGTCCAGTCTCCTGGTTCCTTCCCTCTCGCTGGCCCCATGACAGTGATAAATACCAGCTGGTCTCTATTAACACCACAGTCACCACTTGGAACAGAAATCCAGGGAAACTGGCGCTGCAGGCTGAGCGGTTCATGGAGGGAAGACTGGGCAGGTCAGCTCTGTGGCCATCTGCAGATGTGGTGCAAGGTCGCCGCAGAAGGGCGTTTTCACCAGCAAATGAGCTTCAGCACATGCAACTCTCCTGTCCTCCAGCCTACTCTGGAAGCTGCCGAGCCAGCCTGTTTCGAACTCCTGACCTCAAGCAATCCGCCCGCCTCGGCCTCCCAGAGTGCTAGGATTACAGGCGTGAGCCACCGCGCCCGGCCGAGCCAGCCTGTTTCGAACTCCTGACCTCAAGCAATCCGCCCGCCTCGGCCTCCCAGAGTGCTAGGATTACAGACGTGAGCCACCGCGCCCGGCCGAGCCAGCCTGTTGATGGCTCAGTGGTGGCTGAGCTCAAGAGAAGAAATCCCCCCCGGGAGAAATACCAGTGTTTGGAAGGAAGGAGAATGTATGTTCAAAAGTCAGTCTCTAGCATTTTTGCAGAATCGATGCTATTAAAAATTTCATTGTCATTAGTTCATGTTGTTAGCATGTTTCATAGGTCTGGAATAGTATCATGATTTATTAATAAAAAACAATCACAACACATCATCATCTGAAGAACAGACATCTGGGTTCAGGTTTCTACTATATCACTTCCTGATTCTCTCTCCCCTCTGTCTCTCTCTTCTCTCTCTCTATCAAAAGTTCCTGTAGCTCTTTCAGGCCAGTGTGTGCAGTGGGGGCCTTGTCTGCGTCTCAGAGTTAATCTGGTGCGATGTGGGCTCAAGGTCTTGGGGACCGAATAACTACTTGAATATCTCTGGCCTCTTCTCAATGTGCCTCAAGACAAGCATTTTGAAACTGCTCTGACTTTATTTGGTTTCACGGATCCTTCACCTACTTCCATGCACTTGTCTGGCGGAAGCTAAGTCAGAGATGCAACTGGGTAGGAATGTGACCGAGGCCACACTTTGGCTACCAACAAAGAAGCTTCTGTTCAGAAACCTTCACTCATTACATCAGGCCACCTGGCTCAAAGTCACTGGTGTGAGAAAACCCCCTGCGGGCGAGGACATTCCACAGGAAGGAGTTCATGCCACCCTGTGGCCGCGACTGCTCCTCCTCCGAATATCCAAGGGCCAATGTGGGGTAAAGGGGGGTCCCTGGGGGGCTGTAGGCCCAGCTTCCATCACCCTCAGCCCACACCTGCCCTTCTCCCATCACCTCCACCCCATTTTTTTTCCAGGGAAAAGAGGGTAAAAGAACCCAAGGGTGGTTTGGGGAAGGGGCCAGGTGAGAGTGTGTGAAAGGAGGAAGGTGACTCTGTGGCTCAATGGGGTGGGGCTGGATGGGTGGGGATGCGTCACAGGCTCTTTCAAAGCCAGGTCCCACTCCAGGTGTCCCCTGAGTCACGGCTCACCTTCCGCTGCAGAGCACACCTGTGGAATGAGGGGCAGTGCCCTGCACACCCTCCCATGATGAGGACACAGAGAGGCTGTTCTGTGCTTCTGCCCAAGGGAAGTCTCACTGTCTTGGTGAGATGCGCATTTTCTACTTTATGCTGCTGACTCAGGGCCGGACTCAACAACAGTATTAAAGCCCCAGCATAGGAAATGTGGCAAAAACAAAGCACAAAGAGGCCAGAGCTGACAGGGATGGGGTCCACTTACCATACCTAGGATGGGACCATGCATTCACCCTTGATCAACAGCCAGAGAAGATGGTTTATAGCTCATGGTTTACAGCAAAGGGCATTCTCTCTAAACTTCTGCACAGATCAAAAGAGCTAGGCTTAGGATAAAGAACAACTTTCAAACAATAGGGTTAAGACATTACAAATACAGGCACTCAGGCCGGGTTGCGGTGGCTCACGTCTGTAATCCTAGCACTCTGGGAAGCCAAGGTGGGAGGATCACTCAAGGTCAGGAGTTTGAAACCAGCCTGAGCAAGAGTGAGACCCTGTCTCTACTATAAATAGAAAGAAATTAATTGGCCAACTAATATATATAGAAAAAAAATTAGCCAGGCATGGTGGTACATGCCTGTAGTCCCAGCTACTCGGGAGGCTGAGGCAGAAGGATTGCTTGAGCCCAGGAGTTTGAGGTTGCTGTGAGCTAGGCTGACGCCACGGCACTCACTCTAGCCTAGCCTAGTTGTCTCACTCTGTAAAAAAAAAAAACAAATACAGGCACTCAATGCTCATCAACCCAAGCAAGCACAACTAAAAGCCCTGCATGCCCTGGTCTCACACTATTTAAGAAATTCAAATGAAGAGATTGATGTCAACGAGATAGCAGAAGAGGAGTTTTCTACCATCATCTCCCCACAGAAACATTAATTTTGACAAGCACCCATGGAAAAGAGTACTCTGTAGGAGTTTCAGAGTCCAGTGGAGAAGTTTCAGCACATTATGGGAGCAAAAGTCCAAGAATAAATGCATTAAAAAGGTAAGAAAAACACTTACACTTTATCTGCATTACCCCTGCCCCAAATTCAAAGACAACAAAACAAGACTTTAAGAAACACATAAAATCAAGCAAACATGACACCAAAGGAACACAGTAATTTTCCAGTAACCAACTCCAAAGAGAATAGATCTACAATTTTCCTGACAAACAACCCAAATTAATTGTTTCAAGGAAGTTCAGCAGGCTACAAGAAAACACAGATAGACAAATCAATGATACACAGAAAACAATACATGAAAGAAAAGAGGTTCAACAAAGACATATAAATCATAAAGAACCAAACAGAAATCAGGAGCTGAGGAATACAGTGAATGAAATGGAAAAATACAATGAGAACATCAACTTGATCAAGTAGAAGAAAAAAATCTATGAACTTGAAGACAGGTCATTTGAAATTATCCAGTCAGAAGAGAAAAAAAGAAAACAGAATGAAAAAGAATGAAGAAAGCCTACAGATTTATGAGACACCATCAAGAGACTTAAATATAGATTATGGAATTCCAAGAACCAGAAGAGAGAGAGAGAAATCATGGCTGAAAACTGTACAAAGCTGGGGAGAAAATAGTTTCAACTCAATGAAGACTTCACTAATACACATTATAACCAAACTGTCAAAAGTCACAGACAGAAATTTGAAAGCAGCAAGAGAAAAAGAAACTTACCAAAAACAAGAGAACATTCGCAAGGCTATTAGTAGATTTCTCAGCAGAAACTGTGCACACAAGAAGAAAGTGGGATGATGTATTCAAAGTACTGAAAGAAAAAACATGCCAACCAATAATATTTTGTATAGCAATTCTGTCCTTTGGAAATGTTTATCCTTTCCCAGACAAACAAAAACTGAAGGATTTCCTCACCACTAGACCTACATTACAATCTATGCTAAAGGGAGTTCTTAAAGCTGAAATTAAAGGATGCTAATTAGTAACATGAAAACATATGAAACTATAAAACTCACTAATAAAGGTAAGCATATAGTCAAATTCAGAATACTCTAAAACTGTAATTGTGATGTATGAATGAATCACTTTTAACTCTAATTTAAAGGTTAAAAGATGAAAGTATTAAAAATAACTATAGCTACAATAACTTGTTAGATGCACAATATAAAAAGATGTAAACTGTGACGTCAAAAACATAAAATAGGATGAGTAAAAGAAGTAGAGTTTTGTATGTGATCCAAGTTAAGTTGTTAAAGTTCTTATCACTTAAAATAGACTTATAGAACTACCAGGCATGGTGGCTCACGCCTGTAATCCTAGCACTCTGGGAGGCCGAGGCAGGAGGATCGCTTGAGGTCAGGAGTTTGAGACTAGCCTGAGCAAGAGTAAGACCTGTCTCTACTAAAAAAATAGAAAGAAATTAATTGGCCAACTAAAATTATATAAAAAAAAGAATTAGCTGGGTCTGGTGGCGCGTGCCTGTAGTCCCAGCTACCTGGGAGGCTGAGGCAAAAGGATCACTTGAGCCCAGGAGTTTGTGGTTTCTGTGAGCTAGGCTGATGCCATGGCACTCACTCTAGCCTGGGCAAGAGTAAGACTCTGTCTCAAAAAAAAAAAAGAACTACAGTATGTTTTATGTAAGTTGTATGGTAACCACAAAGCAAAACCTATAGTATATACACAAAAGATAAGGAGAAAGGAATTAATGCATACCACTCCAGAAAATCACTAATCACAAAAGAAAGACAGCAGGAGAGGAAGAAAGGAGCAAAGGAACGATTAAACAACCAGAAAATAATAAAATTGCAAAATTACAAACCTTAATATTTATCAATGGCTCTTTTAAGATAAAGGGGTTTTACAGAGCCCAAGTGAACAACACTTGTAATAATGTACAGATAGCCATGCACTCTGAACCCAAAAGCCCAGGAGTTAAAGAGAACCTTGAATCTATGTGACTAAAGGGTGGCCCCTTCAGGATAGGCTGGGGAAATTGCCATTTTGACGGCTCATCAGGGAAGTATCTCCAGCAGCATCAGACAGGACTACTTTAAGTCTGTTTTGTGTGTATGTGTGTCACTAGAAGCTCTCACTTTGATGACCCCACCTTATATCATATTAAACATATTAAAATGTACTCACAGCCTATGATAAATATAATTTCTACCTAGTTAAGAAAGAAAACTAGGTGAA